CTGGAGGACCATAGTGGAAACACCTAGGCAAGGATGGAAAAGGTTCCGAGAGACAGCAAAGAAAAGTCCCAAAGAGTTTGAGTGCTCAGGACTGGCGGGTCTGCGAAAAGCCCTCTCTGTTGCTCCACTCTTCATCAGCTCTGGGAAGAGGGGAGCATAAACAGAGGAATAATCCAAGGGCATCACAGCATGTCGTGGAATGAAGTTGATTCATGAGTCCTCAGTGGGCTTGGGATATCCTGAGACGCCGCCACTGCTGGAAGAGCTGCTGGGGATGGCATGTGAAATGGGAGACTAGAAACAGCACTTCTGCCACCCTGCATTTAGCAGAGAATGGATCCCCCTGGCATCCTTAGGACCAGAGAGAGAAAAGATACTTTTACCAGTGCCCCTGTTCCCTGAGCAGCGTGGTTTTTCTGCTGGCTGGGAGATGTGTATTAACAGGCAGAGACTGGGCTCAAAAGTGTGTTACTTTTCTGCCTAACATGGTGAGCTTTTGGTTTTGGGGCTTTGTGGAATTTGAGGGCCTGGCACAGTTAGGTTAAGACAGCATTAATGGGGCTGAGTTGATGAGGGTGACATCCGTAGATGGAAAACCCAAAGTACTGCCTGGGATTTCAGAGGCAAAGAACAGCGGCCTAGCTTGTTATCATTGTAGAAGGCAGCCACGTGGACATGGTGGGATGTCTATAGGCCAGTCAGCAGAACTAAGCAGTGGTTTTTGAGCAGTCCAGAGACAGGTGGTGTGGGAACGGGGAATCCTATGAAGAAGAGGTAGCTGAAGCAAAGCGTGGTCAGAGAAGTTCATTCAGAACTGCTGAATCTGACATGAGTTTTCCCCTTGAGAGTTTTGGAGCATGAGCCATCAAGATGACACGTGTCTTCCACAGGTACTGGAGAAAACTGGCTCTGTTTTTCTTAGCTGTGTCCAGTACCTTAGAATCATAGAATCATAGAATGGTTAGGGTTGGAAGGGACCTCAAAGATCATCTAGTTCCAACCCTCCTGCCTTGTAGGACCACATCCCAGAATGGCTAGGCTGCATTGAACAGGGTGAGGTGGAATGGAGCAAGCTCTCTTAGGCTATGTGCCAAAGCCTGGAGGAGCCTTTTCCTGAGTCCTGCCATAGACCTTCATCAGGTGGACATTCAGGAAAAAATACCCCTGCACTCACCATCCAGGTCTTCACTTCTTTTCAGATCAATCAACTAGTCATCTCTGCTCCAGCAACTTGAAAACATTCAGCTTTTCTTCAAAAGAATTTATGAATTCCCCTTGCAGTTCAAGTGCGTTCACCAGGAGTGGGGAATTCCTTTAGATCTCTGCTGAAGAATGCTTTTAAGTCAGGAGACCGCTTGTATCTACAAAGCAAAGTTGCTTGCTCACCGACCAACTCTGCTGGAAGCACCATCTCCCTTAGAAGATTTCACTGTTGTTCCCTGTTTCTTCTTGCCTATCTATAAAGTACCCCATGGCTAGGTAAATATTTTTTATTATATCCTGTGCCAAGCTTTCTTCCCCCTCCCACAGTAGAAGATGCTCATCAGCTCCCTTTGACTGCGAATGAACACCCATGTCTGAAAGGAAGCTGGCCTTCCTCCAGATCTCAGCCTCACACATCCTGGCGCAATGTTTTCCAACATCAAACTGTAGCAAGAAAACAAACTCCAGTTTGCTCCTCCGACATTAATATTGCCGCCCACAACTGCTGCAGCGAGCTCTTACAGCTGTTCTTTCGCTGTCAGCTGGTAGGTTGGTAGGATAAACAGGGAAGAACTATCCAGCTCGGTGCTTTAAATGGGGTGGACGTGATAACTAGGGTGGCTTATGAGCTTCCTGGCATGGGCACTGTGCAAGGGGGAGGGTTGAATAGGCTGGTGTTGTCTTCCTCTCTGCTAGAGCAGTGCTGATGCTCCAGGTCGTGGACTCTTGCAGTTGTTCCCAGTTACTCAACAGGCAGCCCAGCTCAGCCTGCTGCAAGAGCAGGATTTGGCTTTAAAAAGCCCATTTTTTCCCCATCCATCCAGTTGCAGACTGTACCTTTGACAAAGCATTTCTTTTCTCTCTCCTCTTCTCTGCCTCTTTCTGCCTGGTTTATTCATAAAAGCCAGCAGAGGCTCTGTAGGGAGCAGACCCAGGGCCGCAGCCCTATGAGCTTGGCTGCGTGCAAGGTGGTGTGGGAAGTGGGCTTGCTCTGCTGCGAAAGCTCACCGCTCCCCTCCCTGTATCTCAGGGAGAAAACTTGATGCTGTTTGTTAGCAATGACTCTAAATGAGCACATACTTCAGCTTTCTACCTGAGCAGATTTTTTGGTCTTTCAGTGGCATACGTTATAAGTACTTACTGTTATCAACAGAAGCCAAAGGTCTCCAACCTCCTCTCTGCCAAATGAGAGCAGCATTGGAGCTCTGAAGCTCTGAAGTGCATCAAGCCACTGTCTGTTTGATGGTCTTGCTTTCTTTGACACACCGATCCCGAGGTCTTTCCTTTCTTGTCTCTTTTCTTTTTGTCTCATCTCTGTTCTGTCTTAGGGTTTTTTAGCATCTCTCATGTGAACTTATGAGAGCTTAGTTTACACTAAGGCTTGTGGGCAGCCAGGAGCAGGGTGGCATGCAGACACAACAGTGATGGGCTTGTATCTGCACGCCACAGGGTTCATGCCCCGTTGGTGACCCAGGGAGCTGGCAGTGCCTCACCTGTGTAGGCAGGCTCCTGCGGCATTGTCTGTGTGCATGACCCCTTCATCATGCTGGTTGGAGTTACGAGCAGGGATCCTCTTCTTGCACCTACATGACTGGGTTTGACTGGTTCTTCCCCGGTCTCAGGGCACCTGGACGTCCCAGTACATGGTGCCATGGTTGGGACTGGTGAGTGAGACCTTCAGCTACTAACGAGGCACTGGCTGGTCAATACCCACATTTGCCATCACCATATTCCCACAGGCACCCTTGGAAGGAAGAGATGCATTGTCTTTATTAGTGTGTATATGTGTTTTTAAAAACTATTGCCCAGGCACAGCTGTGCCTGGGATTGGTGAGTTCATGGACCCACTAAAACCAGAGCGGTAGAGACAGGACCTGTGCACCCCAGCAGAGGTGAGGGAGCTGCCAGTAGCTATCCTCTTCAGCGCAGTTACTCTGCTTTTATTCACTGCAGGTGAAGGTGAGCATTGCTCTTCCAAGTATGCCTCTCCTCTCCAGAAGCTTCCCTCTGCTCTGAACCACTGAATTATCCCCATCCTCCATTATATTTACTGATTTCTTAGCATCTCCCAGATCCAACTGGGAACTGCCCTGCTGGTAATCAGCATCCCCCCGGACGCACTCCTCCCTGGCTGACTCAGTCGGCTGCGGTGCTTCGGCACAGCCCTTCCGAGCAGAGAAGCAATTGCTCTTTCTGCCCTGTCTGTCTAGAGCTCTCCCCCTCCAGCTCTCCCGGCGGCTGAGTCACTTCCTTCTTTAAATCTGGCCTTAGATCTTCCTTTTCTCTTCGCCCTGTGATTCACTCTCTTTGTGAAGCGCTTTGCAGAGCTCCGGCTGGAAGATGCTGAGCAGATAGATGCTCCCAGTGCAGGATGTCCTCCTTGTCTCGGAGCCACAGCAGTTAGCCCCTCTCCAAGGGCTGGTCCCTGCATCGTGCTAAATGGTGTCTCTTAGTATCAGCATTTCTCTTATCTTAGCATTTCTTTCAGTGCTACATCTGACGTAGTAATAGGAGCCAACTCCTGCCTGCGGGCGAGTGCGTGTAATTTCCTTTGACATCAGCGTGTGCCTGTGAGGGCTCAGCTCTACCCTCTTCCCACCCAGTTTGATTAGATGCAGTAAGGGAGTCATTACAGGATCTCTGCCACTCCTCCTCGTCCCTCGTGGGATTTAAGGAGCGCTGCTCTTAGAACTGAGCTGAAATGTGCTCAGAGAAAGGAAAGCTTCAACTTCTGCTCTATAAGCCTGGAGATACTTTTAGTATAATATCTACACTCCTCAAATTTTTATATTAAGATTATTTTTCTCCCTTACGTGCTTATTTCCTTGGCCTTGGACCCTCTCATATCTAAGTATCTCACCTTTTTGCTGTTTCCTGGTGTGGGAGGGAATCGCCAGCCAAAAGGGTAGTTAAAAGATGTCGTCATGAATTAGCCGTGTGGCACCACTGAACTTGGCTAGACCTGCTCCAATTATCAGCAAAGAGTGGGATAAAATTTGCCAAAGCTTTTAAATCCTGGTTTTGGCTGTGACTTAGGTAGTTAAGCACTAAATCCATTTCACTGTCCTTGCAGCTTAGGCATACAAATACTCAAGTTGCTTAGGCGCTTCAGAAAGCATCCTGCGGGTGCCTTGCCCCTTGACTCTGGGCAGAAATGGGTGAGGCCAGAGACCCCAGACCTGGTTCTGTGAAGGTCTGGCTGCATCCTCAGGACAGTGGTGCCCAGGCCAGTGGCAGCAGTTAAAGAACACATCAATTTAAAATTTGGGATCGAATGAGGAGATTCTGGGACAGGCTGTGATGCTTCAGTCACTTGGCAAGCGAGGGTCTGTTTGTCAGACTGTTGTGCTTAGGAAGTGTATGGCAGGCTGTGCAGCTATGTCTGTTTGTAGCTCTGGGTTTCTAAAAAGTGATCGATGACCATTTTCTAAAGAGCGACAAAAAGTTGTTTTCCAGTACAGTAAGTTTGCAAATGAAATGAAATCGCTATTGTAAAGGAGCTTTGTTTCTACGGAGGGGGCAGGGGCTATAGAGTTTGTTGGGGAAAGACGACCTCTGATCCAAGGAGAGGACTTTTAATTATTCCTACAGGAGATGCAGCAATTGAGTAAATGAGAATTGCACTTTCTGACAAATACCGATAATCCTCAGCTCTGATTTTTAATAAAGCTTCAGCAATCACATTTTTCAGCTTCTAAACAAGCAACTCTTGAGAACAATGCAATGTCTCCCTTCGCATACTGACCTTACGTTGCATGCTAAGCTTATATTGCGTATATTTGTTTTCTTTTGCTTAGAACGAAGTGATCAGCCAGCAACTGTCTGTCATTTTCACTCATTGCTACGGACCCTACCCTATTCCAAAGCTCGTTGAAATTAAGCGCAAGCAGACCTCTCGCCTAGGTAAGTGCTATTAGAAGATACTCGTTGGTTCTCTAAGGAGAGCTGTGGGAAGTCTGCGTTGCAGGCCGGGCGCTTTGAGGCGCACAAGTCAGAGAAAAACCTGGATTTGAAAGACAGAAATACCAAAAGGAAGGGCCCCAAACTTAGCCTGACCTGCAACTCCCGCTGAAATCAGGAGGGTCATCAGGTGCGTTAGAGGGGGACTGTAAATCGGCAAAGGTTTGTGTGTGTTGCTAATGAGGCTGGGATCCGAGCCCAGGGCCGGGAGCCAAACATCTGTCCGCATCTCAAACCGCCGCGGCTGGCTGCACGTGGTGCCGCGGCGGCACAGCCCTTCCAGCCCTGCTGACAGAGCCCAGGTTGTTTTAATGTCACCGAGAGAAGACTCCAGAGATTTTCCAGGACCCTTTTGCCCTTGGCACAAAGTCTCCTGCGCAGGGAGAGGGACATAATAAGGTATAAACGAGCGTAGGGCCCTCCAGCGTCTGTTCAGCTGCAGTTTGCTTTAGGTAGCAGAGCTGGGAGGCTGTGCCAGCTCCGCTCGGTGGGGACGGCTGGCTGTCATCTCAGCAAAGGTCCTCATGGACTTCAAAGCTTTGAATTTCCTTCGTCTGAGCTCCGCATAGCTGGCTGGAGGGCTTCTGTCTCAGGCTGTCCAAAATAGCTTTATGAGCTTTACTCGTTAAAAACAATATCCTTTTATGCTATCCTCTCCTTTTGTCAAAACAGGAAAATACTCTGTATGTTCATGACCTCTTCCAAACTAAAGTTATTGGCTTTTTTTTTTTCCTCTTTTTATGATTCTAGATCCCCATTTTCTTAACAACAAAGAGATGTCAGATGTTACATTTCTGGTGGAAGGAAGACCATTTTATGCACACAGAGTGTTGCTATTTACTGCATCACCAAGGTAAAAAATAGAGACGTTTCTGGTTTTTAACAAAAATAGAATTTGATTTTGTGGTTTTGCGTTTGTTTTTTTTTTTTCTTCCATTAAGATTCTTTGAGGGCTAATGGCCCAATCTTAGTCTTTTCCTAGGCAGAACATCTCAACAGCTTGTTTCTGGTTGATCTGCAGGATGTTTAGCAAGTGCTCCCATCACTAGATTCTCACCTAATAAATAATCCATGCTTCTGGCCGTGCATCTGCCTTCATTCCACTGAGGCACATTTGCATGGAGCTCGTTGCTGCATCCAGCTCTTAATCACAGAGGAGTCTTTATATTTTGATTCTTAATAATCAGTTACCCTCTGAGTGGCTAAATCCTGCCTTGCATCAGTGTAGGCACTCTGCAGGAAAAACAAGCTACTATCACACAGTTCATTGACAACATTTGACATTTTTTAAATAAAATGAAATAAGTATGAAACGTATCATGCTGTATCCAAAGGCAGTATTTATAGTCTGTTCCCTGTGCTCAGAAGGCTGGACGTGGGTTACCCAGCTCAACCCAACCTTAAAGCTGCTCGCAACCCTTATTTGTACGCTGCTTTATAATTAAAGGTGTGCTTTTAAACAAACTTAGCTGCCCCTTCATAAGGCCTTATTTCACGATGTGGCAAGGACAAGTGACTGGGTTTGGGTAGTTTGAGCGATGTGGGAATTGACGCCGGACATGCTGCCAACTCACAGCACAGAGTAAAGAGATTTGCATAAAGCAACTGCAGTATCTGACCCTGCCTGCGATTAAGGAATGGGTATTTTGATTTAGACCATATTGGTAAGGTACAAACATGTTCCAAACTCCAGCTGTAAACCTACTGAATTGCGTTTGACGCTAGTAAAAGCAAATCAATTGTTATCCATATTTTAATTAACATGATGCCGTTGTGATACGGAAAAGATTACCCTCCAGCAAACACTGGTCTTGATAGATAAGCCAAGCTTTGCACTACGGCTAGAAGGTCAGATGAATTATCAAAAAGAGGAAGTAAAAGGGCAGATGTTTCTGACAGCACATTTCCCGTTTTCACTCTCTGATCAAATGGGAACATCTAGTTTTGGGAAATAGATTGCTACATATGTATATGTGTCTCATAAATCTGCAATTATTAACTTAAAATGTGTTTTTTTCCTGAAACTTGTATCTGAATTTCAGGTTTTGATAATCAGAGAACAGCAGCCTATCTGGTTTTCTCTCCTGCCTCTTCTTACACAATTGTATTGAGCCTGCATAGAAGCATTAAAAGTCTTAGTGTAGTTGTTTTAATGTTTTGTTCCAAAACATTTTTTTAAAGCAGCATAACGGACGTAGGTCAAAATTTATCTTCTTCAAAAAAGATGACGTGCAGTTTTTAAATGTTGCAAGTCTTCCTAAGAGATCAAGTTGCCTCCAAGAAAAAATAAAAAGAAAAAAACATATTTTGGTTTTATAATATGCATCATTACAATGTCTGAATTCCCTAGGTACATTTTATTCTGTTGTGATATTAGATGTATTTTTCCAAAATTTCAAATTGAAATCTTCTAAAAGAGAGGTGTCTTCTTTTTGATTTGAACCTTATTTTTTGTCAGTGTCTAAAACTTGATGTTTTTCAGTGACATTTCAGTGTACTGTTCAGTCACTGTTTCAGTGACATTCAGTGTTCATTTCAGTGTACTGTTTTTGCAAGAGCTGATGCTGTCCTACAACTTTGCCATACTTTTTTCACAGAGATAATTGGGCTGGTATTTCAATCTTACTCCTTTTTATTTAGGTTTAAAGCCTTGCTGTCTAGCAAGCCCTCATCTGATAGTACTTGTATTGAGATCAACTATGTGAAGTACCCCATCTTTCAGGTAAAGTCAGTTCTCACATTGAATTTGAATGGAACATGTAATAGGAACATCCTACATGCCCTGTCCAAATTAGTACGTATGTATTTGATAAACAAGTAGCTCAGAGTAGTGCTTTCATGAGCACAGGCTTCATCTCCATTCATACACTAAGCTACAGAGTGCTATTGATTGCAAGTGTCGTGCCTGACCAGATACAATAGCACGCATTTCACTTACACGGGGTGTGCAGACAAAGCAGTGCATGTCAAGGTAAAGCACTTGATTCTTTCTTTTGTTGGCTCTTTCATTATTTAATGGACAAGCTTGAAAGAGACACAGTTCATTCCTTTCCTTAGCAGTGTTGTTCAATCAGTTTTTTGCCACGAAAAAACAGAGCTTGCTTTCTGTATCTGTAACATACGTGTATATGCTTCCCTTTATTTGAGTCAGAGCTTAGGCAGTTTTGTGTATTGACTGTTACTGCTGTAGATAATTCCCAGCTGCCTACAGTAACTTTAGGCTTGCTGGACACTCACTGCAGAGGGGTCTTAGCTGCCTTGTATTACAGTGCAAAGCCTCCCCCACTCTTTCTCATCATCCATGCATGCCCACACACACAGCTGGTGAAGGTGAGGATGCCAATGCCAGGGAAGGAATAAGGGAATAACCTTTATATATGCTGTATTTTCCTGAATCAATGATGTACTTAACGTACTGGGAAATACTGTGAAAATTCAGAATGAATTAATCAGCTTCCTGCAAACTGTTTGGAGCTCACCAGAAAGTCCGGACAACGTGACTGGTGAGGGTTGAGACGTTAGACTTCCTGTGAGAAGGAAACATTGAATGGTGCAGAGAGAGAGAGTAACCAAATATATCTTGAAATTAGGAGGTTTGGGCCAGTTTTATCTACAAATCTTTGGGGATATTGGAGAGCCTTTGGTATTACCTGCAATCTTTATATCACCCCCCCGATCCCTGATGTCTTGGATTGCTTTTTATAAACACTCCCTTTGTTTTATTACAGCTGGTTATGCAGTATCTTTATTACGGAGGTGCAGAGTCACTCCTGATTAAAAATAATGAAATTATGGAGGTAAGAGACATTTATCTTAATTGCAGTGGAACCAATGCTAAGTGATCTATGTACCGTTCACTCAAGGGCATGTGGCCATTGGGCAAGACATGAGCACTCCTGTAAGAGCCAGCAGTGCCTCACCCGGAGTGCCCAGGCTGTCCGCAGTCCTGCAGGAGACACTCTGTGTCCGTCTCTGCCAGTTGCCTGTTACGGTAACTTTTGCCAATATGAAGTTGACGGTCAGAGAAGAAAGAGTAGAAAAATTATGATCATCAAGAGAAAAAAGTATCTGAAATAAAACCATCTAGTTAGATGCTTTGAAAGGAAATGCAATGCTGGTGTTACCTAAATCTGGAAGCAACTCCCGGCAGCATAGTATACCCTCCTCTCTCTCTCAGCCTGATAAGTGAGGTGCTCTACTACAGCTGGGCTGGTCAGCTTCTTCCTACTATGCTCTTAGTTTTTGGTTTATTAGCTCAGGCTTACATGTTCAGACCTATCTCAGCAGTGTGAAAGCATCCAGTTTGGTTCCTCACTCGCAAGAATTCTTGGGCTTTAACCATGGGAGAAATCCCACTGCAGTCACAGTTCAGTTCAATTTCGAGCATGTGACTGTCAAGTTATCTGAATAAAACCTTAAGCTGCTCCTTGAGATACAGAGACTTCTTTGCCCCTTTCTCACTGGATGCAAAAGCCAAACCAAGCCAACTGGAGCTGACTGAGCCTTCATTGTAGCCACACATCCACAACCTGTATGGATGTTAAGTCATCCTCTTCCAAATACTACATGCTGTCATTGCCAGCTATGACCAGCCTAACAACTCCAACTATGTAGAACTAAGAGATATTTGATCAAATTCTTGGTAGTCACCCAGGGAGTTTTCCTCTTGACAATCACCAGATTATGGCAGGCAAAAAGAATACAGGAGAGTGAATGCTAAAATCAGAGCTGCTTAAACAGCTGTTAATCATCTGTGTATAGATTATAGTCTGCCACCATGATGTTTTATTGTTGCCTACATTAACTAGTCTGTCTCTGTGACACTACTCTCTGGGGTATCCATGTGAGGCTTGGCTTTTACCAAAGTACTGCTAACCAGAAACTGGGAGCGACTCTTCTTTGGGGTATGAGCAGCCAGGATGAATCAATTCTGATGGGTACAGGGACAACTGTATCAACCCTGCTGGCAGCCAGAGGATGGAACTAGTCAGGACTGAAGTTATTCCTCTCCAATGCAGGTGGTGGATTTTTAACTTAGCGTGCCCACTTGCTGAGCTTTATGGGAAAACGTCACTGATTCTCTGTTTCACTCGTGGTTTTGAAAGAAGCTCCTGAATTTCTAACCCTTTCTGAAACAGGAGTCTCAGTGCAACAGCTTTATAGACACGTGTGTGTTATCACCTAGACTGTTAAAAATCTTGTGCTGCAGTTCAGCTGGATGCTTGCTCTACTTTTGTGACATCTCAAAACTTCTGTGACTCAAGAATGTATGACTGATTGATTGATCCGTTGATAACAGATCTGGCCACGGTTCCTCACAGTTTAAAGTAATTGCAAACCAGCACGTGACTGCTTGAGCCACAGAGGCAGCTGGAATTGGATTTGGTTTTATCTTTCAAAAACTGCATTTAGCAACTTGCCTTATTACAAATATGATAACAAGAAGCACCAGAAATACTCCACAGAAATCTTTGCTGCAATTCATAATTGGGGCCAGCTGGCTGCTATCACATCAGCACTGCAGATTTCCAGCACTTGGATTTATTTATGGGATTAAAGCAGAGCTTGAGCAGACTGCATAGGAGAAGTCAGAATAATGTCATGGAGGTTTCAGGGTTTTGTACCCCAGCACTCCTACCTAGTGGCTTGAGAGCCCTTTTGGGATTCACAGGATAGCTTTTTGTCATGCAGTCCTAGATGATAAAGGCTGTCCTAAGATACCTGGCTGGGTTAGAGCAAGGTGTCAAGCAATGAAGAACCCCAACCTGCTTCTTAAGCCAGAGCAGAAAGCCAGAGGTGATGACCTACCATGGAAAGACAGAAAATTCCCAGATTCCTTTTCCCAGCTGTAAAAGGACAGAAAGGGGCCAATAGAGGAAACCTAGCCCTACTGAAGTCAGTTAGAGAGCTCAAAATTTGAGCCATTTTCACCCTACAGGCTTCAGATCATGTCCACAGCATACAGCGGCATGCAGAGATCCCAAGGCAGAGCCAGTCCAGGTAGTATATCCATAGGGTGGATGCAGGGCCAAAGAGGGAGGTCAACTTGAGTCCTGATGGCACGAGAGCTGTGCTAGTGCAGCGATACAGACACATGACACTAACGTGAGTGTCACTGGGCAGTGCCTCGCACCAAGCCGGCTCCCACCTTTGCATCGTATCCCACTGTGTGTCCACTCCTTAGAGTAACGTGGAGCCAGGCAGGGTTTCAGTGCCCGTGGCCTAGACATGACCTTACCGCTGGTCACGAGCTAGAGCAAGGAGCATATGGAGATCTGACTCTATTTCCTTGAGCCTGCTGAGGTGACAGATTTGAGGTTTGTTGCCTCTCTAGATTTTTAAGACTGCCCAGGGTGGTTATCATCATCTGGTTTGAATTCCTCTATACTCTTGGTCTTGGCCCTGCTCCTGACATTCCCACATCCAGCCCAGGTGCTCTGTTTCAGCCAGAGCTTGGGGAACGGTTGAACCGGAACCTGTTTTTTCCTGGAATGTAGTTGTGGATCCCTCCTTGCAGAGTCATGTTTGCAAAGTGACCAAAGAGACTCCAAGCTGCCATTTCCTTTTACTCTCACGCATATCCCCCCACTCATCCTCAAGTCGACACGTGGACCTGAGCAGCCTGTGGTGGTCTCTCCACAAACAGCTTCCCACAGTATAACCTAGAGGGGACTACAAAGGGTTGAAGCAACCAAGCAACTGTCTCATTCTGATTGTTTGTCAGTACTTTCTTGCTAACTGAAGCAGGGGCAGAGAAAAAAATATAATGAAACAGTAAAGAAGCAAACTCTGATTCGGTATCACTCAGCAGTTTTGACTATTTTTTTCCTTGCCTTTTTTTTTTTTAGCTTCTCTCTGCTGCTAAATTTTTCCAGCTTGAAGCTTTACAACGACACTGTGAGATCATTTGCGCAAAAAGCATTAATACAGAAAACTGCGTGGATATTTATAATCATGCCAAGGTAAAAATAACTGCATATGCTTGCATGTTATGTGTCTGTCGTCACACTCGTAGGTCAGTTTTATGATAAGTAGTGATTGTTTGTTATTTACTTGAGATTTGCGATTTTCTGGGACCGAGTGGCTAATAGGTACCTGGTATAATAATAGTCCTAATCATGTAGTGTGAGAGCATCTGTGGCAACCACTCACTCCCTTCTCTAAGTGCTTCAAACTCAAATTGAGTGTACCACTGTGTAGCAGACTTCTCCCTTATTATGGCAACCCAAACTGCTGAGTTATTCAACAGGCATCACCTAACTGAATAAGACACCTCTCTTTCACCTTCCAAGCTGCTTTTTCCCTTTATAGTTTCCTCTTTCCTCCTGCCTGAAGCCCACTGGGGTGATATACTCAATGCTGGTGACAGCTTGTCAATATATAAAAATGCCACGTTGTCGAAGTACAACATCTCCGAGCCGCGCAAGGATGGTAATGAGAATTTTATGTCTTGGAGAGGAGAAGTTCACAGCTTCTTATTGGAATAAAATTATTTACTTAGCTTGTGCAGGGGCCTAAGTCATTAGGCGTAAAAGCATGTCATTTTTTGACCTAGAAAACCTATTTTTGCTCATTGATGGAGGGAGTTGCCACATGGATTAGTTTGATTTTTTTCATCCTCTTGTGTGCTTAGTAGTTAGACTTTCACTTGGAAGATGGAAATGATACAGAAATAGTTGCAATTAAATATTTTTAAAGCGTTCCTTAGATTATTTTTTTGTATAATTTACATGGTTTATATGAAAGATAAAATGGTGCAGCGTGACATGGAGGTTTGATTGAACAGAGTAATCCTGCAGATTGTTCCAAACCCCTGCAGATTGACCTCCATTCCCATCATCAGACATTTCCTACAGAGAGTAGTAATGTTGAGTCTTGATGTACAGATAGCGCGCAATCAGTGTTTGAAATAGCATGAAGTTCCACCTATACAATGAATAAGAAATGAGGTGTATCTGCAGGTCTATTTATTGTAATAGGGGAAAAAATCAGCAGTGCAGGAATCTTTTTAAAAATATTTGATTTATCTTCTAGCTCATGTGGGAACGTCTCAATTTTATTACTGTTACTAAAAGTAAAATGAATAATTTTAAAATCACATGTTTTCTTTGAATTGTGAAATTTGGCTGTTATTTACATCCTGATTCAAGAATGTTCTTACACCGAGCTTTAGACCTGTCTCAGAAACTAGTATGCTGCCAATGCTGGGACTGAACAAAACTAGTGGCTAAATCCAGCTCCTTGTTTGCCTGTAAGGGCCCCAGCCTACAAGTTTTCTATGCCTGCATCTCCCCATGGAGTCAGTGGAAACTCTACTTGAGGGGCTTTTACGGCCAGGGTCATGTTTGCACTGATATGGGTAGTGTCTTGCAGAGATAGCCAAGCTAGCTGTGAATGAAATCTTGACTTCTGGAATTAGTTAAGCCACATCACAGCAGAGCTCTGCATGGGCTAATTTACCCTGCTTCCAGTAAATTACCAGGTCTAAGTTTCAGCCTGCTATAGCTAGAAGGTTTCCAGGACCTGAACTAGCGCATTTAAAGTTAGTTCAGATACCTCTCTGTTATGCTGTCCACAGAACAGAGAAGACGGCCCATCTTTTTGCCCCTGGTCTGTGTGATGTGCAGGTGATTAATCTGAGCACAGATCGTTCTGCCCAGAGTACTCCGGTCACACAGTAGCTTTGCTTGTATGTTATGTCAATACGAGATAATGGTGTGTGATGGAAGAGGCCAGATGGTCCTTGTGAGGCAGGATACAGGCAGTTTGACCACAGCTGGCCAGCCAGCCATCAGCCTTTTCATGTTGCTCTCTGAAATGTGGAAGAAGCTGGTGTTAGACCACAGTGAGGATGGGAATAAGGTGCGCCAACACTGAAGCCAGGAACCACTGTGTCAGCCAGGAGTAGGTTTGAGTAACTTGCTTCTGCTGTAGGTACCGTTTCTACTCTTTGCTACTTTGCAAGCTCAGCTGCACCTGCAGGAACTCAGGCTGAGACCTGCTTTTCCAGATGGGGATGTACAAGCAGGTTGGCCTGGAGACACATGGACCACAGTCTTTGTCATCATGATTGAGAGAAAGATATGATTTGGTGGAAGCATGGCATTGAAGTGAGCACAGATTTGGAGAGCTATCTGTGGTGGGGACCTAGGTTGTGGAGCAGTGTTTAGCAGAGTGGTGAGCTGGGTAAAAGGAGCTGTAGGAGCAAGAGATTGAGACCCTGTGTTAAAGAGGTGAAGTACTGGTAGGAAGGTGAGACAATGTGAACTTGGTCACATTTACAATTTAAAAGCTGAACTGAGAGTATTAAAATAATCTGTGGCATCTCTATGGGCTTTCCATTCTTAAAATTGCAACGTCTACAAAGGCAGTCATTTGATTAGTAACACTTTAAGGCTCTCATTTTTCAAAGCCTTTGTCATTGTTCTTTACTTGCAGAAGAAATGAAGTAACTGGGCAAATTGGATCTATAATGGTGATTGATTAGTTACCACTAGATACCAGTTGTGTTTTACATAAATGCCTCCAAACTCCCAACAAAATCATTTGGAATTTCAAATACATTCCTAAAACACTCAGCACTTGCACAGATTGCAATCTGCGCCTCAGAACAAATCTGAAAAAGAAAAGTACATTATTTCCTCAATGTCATGAATGTAATGAAATAATGAATAGGGTTGAATGGTGTTTCAGAGAAGAATACAGATTAGCACATATGCTCTCACATCCGGGTGCAAAATTATGCACTCATAATTTGATGAAAACTTGCGTGGTTTGAAATCAATTAAATTCATTCATTTTCCTTGGGAAGACAGATCCTACTTAGCCCTAATCTGTTTTGGTTTCTTTCTAATTTCCATATTATTTATTTATTTTTAGCAATTGCCATTCTTAGTGTCAAACGTGCTATGAAGGTGGTGGTGGGCAACACTGCTGTGTAGTTGTTCCAGTCTGGACCCAAAGCCATGCAATGCCCCAGCAGTTTTGGCCCTTCAGGCTGCACCTTGCAGCCAAAAGTTCCTGCTTTACTCAGAGCTTGGACCTAGCAGGAGCTTACCTGGGCAGGATAATGGGCTGAGCACTGCTCTTTACACTTACATGGCTTATAATTACACCTATAGCAGAATATCACGGCTATACTACTTGTATGACCACAGGATCTAGCCAGTGGGTGATGACCAGTGCAGGTCACCCATCAAATTACCAGTATGGGCCATTTAAGGTTTGCTCATACGTTTCTGCTCACATAGTTAAGGTTTCTTCGCGCATTACAGGACCCCTGCCTATTACCTAGACATGGCTTAGTGTAAAGGGACGCTGACAGCCCCAAACCACATGCTCTGCAAACCTGCATTGCTCCTCCAAAGATTCCTCAAAGCATGAAACTTTGCATGACAGGTCAGGTGACCCATCCTTGCTAAGGATGGCGTTCATTAAACTTGGTCTGTAGTAATTTGTCTCAAACCTATAGTTTTAGAGTGTAACTTCTAGCATGAAATCGTGAGTCTAGTGAAGTCTGTGGTAGAACTCCCGCTAATTTCCAAGGGAGCAAAGCTTCACCCCTGAAGTTTGTTTCCTTAACAGCTATGGCCTTGTAACACAGAATTGCGACCAGAATCATCAGTGTTAAATACTGTTTGATTATCTCCTTCCCCTCCCACACATACAGCTGTAAGTGTTACTGTGCCTGTCTGAAAGGCTTAGTTCGTGTGTTTGTTTGTGTGCAGCTCTTATGCACTGTATTTGTCGAGCAGGTTTTATCAGAATGGTTATCTTTCTCTAATTTCACTTCTTGTAGTTTCTCGGAGTCACAGAACTATCTTCCTATTGTGAAGGCTACTTTCTAAAAAATATGATGGTCCTCATTGAAAACGAAGCTTTCAAACAGCTGTTGTATGACAAGAATGGAGAAACGTCTGGTCAAAATGTACTACAGGACTTACAGAGGACGTTGGCCACAAGGATTCAGTCAATTCATTTGTCTTCTTCAAAGGGCTCCATTGTATAAAGCCGAGGAAGACGGTAGCCCTCTAATAAAGACCCTGCAAGTTAAGTCTGCTGTTGCAGTTGCCTAAACCCGTTGCAGTTGCTTAAATGACTACAAAAACAAAATATTAAAAAATTCTACTTTGCATCCAAATAGTTCTGTGTTGGCCAGAGGCGCTGCACTGGGGCTGTGGCCCCATTTGGATGAGGGAATACAGAAAACAAAGTTCCTCTGTGTTTTTGAGCAAACAGGGTACAAGAGTATCCAGTGAATCGCTGTTGTACGCAAACTCTGAACACACGCACGTGGTCATGGAGCTCAATGCCAACAAAAGCCAGAACTCACGTCAGTGAACAGCAGAAGCCCCTGCCTGAGCAGTGGTGCCAGGGAGCACCCGAATTGACCGAGTAATCATTTAAGGCGGATTTGTTCCAGTGTTACATGTTTAAGAACTATATCTGTCCCGGAGTCCATTATCTCGTGCATTTAAGACATGTAAGAACTGTTATTGCTGTCGAACAAAGATCAACTGTATTAGAGAGTGGGTAAGACTGTTGCAGCTGAGGAAATATACTGGCAGATTTTTAGGGGTGGGAACTTTTTCAATTGTTCATAAAACAAAAAATGGGGTGGCCTTGTAGTTTAAAAACTATTTCTTAAGCTTAAAATTTCATTTTCGACAGAGCTGTGTTTGAGAATCTATGTAACATGTTTTGTTTTTTAAATGGTAAAATGTACATTGTGTAAACATACATATGATCAAGTTTTGCTTGTATTCTTTCCTAGGGTGGTATAATCTTGCCTAACAGGCTATGGTTACACCAAAGAGGTACATTACCCAAACCATCTCTAATACAGTAATTGGGGGGCAGGAGAACTGCATGCTACTCGTAATTTGGGGTTAAAAACAGTGACAAACTCATCATGCATTTGCATGGTAACTGTACCTGTGAAATGTTACGTTCGTGCTTCGTTTCGCCAAGACAAATGCAATGTTACTTCTTGTCAAACTTCATTTGTGAAATTAGCATATTTTTTTATTTGGTGCGATTGGTTGTGATACGACACCCCCGGAGACCCTTCTTGAGATGCTGGTTTCTGTTTGTTACAGTGAAGGGATAATAACAGGTCTTTGCTTCAGTTATATGTCGATGCTTTGCTACTGGCCAGAGATTGTGTCTGAGTTAGACTTTTTTAAATTATAATTAAATATGTACTATAGAATGATTTGTCACTGTATCCTGAGAATGTATAGGTTATCTACAATGCAGGGTTTGGGTGGGGTGGGATGGGGGGTGTGATTTAATGTCAAGGCTTCATTTATTTTGCAGCAAATTGTTAGCAAGACAAATCTGCTACGTGCCACAGCATTCCTAATGCTCTGTCTCTGAAAACCACAGCAAGAAGTAGGCAAAGATGTTGCCTCCATGGCAAAATGACATTAATATGTTTATTTTCTAGCATGCCGTTCAGAAACTGTGCCCAGTTCATAGACTTTGGAAGTTTTGTTTTGACAGTGCATGTTAACTTCTTGTTCTTTTGTTGAAGTATCTACGTCGGGTACTCTTCCATGTTGATAGCTTCTGGCATGCTCAGAGAACACAGTTTTGGCTTTAGTTATCAACACGGTAGGGAAGCTGTTTTATGACTCTGAGGTGTAAATCCTCCTGTGTGCTTGGTCTTTTAAAGCCTCTACAGTTTCTGCCACAAATTACAAAAATGTCTAAACTGCCACTAATGTCGCAGAGACGCAGCGTGTCAGTCAATTAGACTTTTTTTTTTTCTGCATAGTAGATGTTCACACAAGATGTTGTCTGGAACATTTAGGTAGTGGCAATGTCTGTGTGAACGTTGCGATCTTAGAGAGCCGAGACCATGATTGATGCAACAGCAATACGTGGGGGTGCTTGTTGTCGTTTGATGTGCCTCCTCATCCATGGAAACCCATCCTTCCATGCCAAGGATAACTAGATAGGAGCAGACCTCACCCTGCAGCTTCGTGGTTTAAAGTAGCAAAGTTTTTCAAACAATAATCACTATATTAAAATTCTTCCTTTGGGTACATGCGTAGTGCCTAACGAAGTCAAAAGGAGTTGCATACGCGTATATCCACAGGCAAAATAGCTTTTTCTGGGAAACATGCCCACAGGTATACCTGTGGATAGGCAGTCTGGCATCTGATGCTGTAATGATAGCCACGAGTGGTGTGCCCCTGTTCCCAGCTCAAATACTAACTGTGCTTTGGTAAGGGGATGTAGAGTCCCGTGTGCACAGGCTGTCCCTGGAAGGTGAGGTTTTTTGAGCATTTGTAGGAACGTGCCTGAGACTCATTAGGGAGGAAAGGCTGATAACTCTGTGCGAGTCGTTCTTCTGATGAGTTGAGAGTAACTGTGGTAACGTTTACTGGTTTTCTTTCAGAGATAAAGGGCTTAGTATGTCCTTTGGTGGCTGTATGTGAACAGAGTGGTCACCCCGTTTGGGCGCTCCAAACGAAAGAGCGCAGCTGCCTCCAAACACACTGCACAAGCCTGCCAGCAGCGCTGCGTCAGCCCACGCATCCGTGTGTCCCGCCGCTCCTTCGGGGACACCTGAATCTAGGCGGCTGAGCACGACAGAAAGCGTGGCACCCACTGCTGCCGCGAGGTCTGCTTTGCTGGTGGCTCGCAAACAGTAGGAGAGAACAAGCCCCAAGAAGCTATCATTCAAAGCTGTTCCAGGAAGGGATTGCGGCTACTGATTTACAAGGGAATAACTTTCGCCCTTCAAAACTTTGGTGATTCCAAAGTCATAGAGGTATAGCTGAAAGGATCCTTAAAAAATAAGTATCGTGACTTTCAATTCTTTTTTGTACTGTGGCCCCCATAGCTTCTGCCAGCCCCTGTGTAACCCTGGCATTCATTCCTCCTGGAAGTAGTCAGCAGACCTTTGTGTGGATTCACAGACTGGAGTTTGAAAACTGCCATTTTAGTCCACCTCTCCTGCTGTGAGGCTGGGTGAGGTCTACCTGAACCACGCCAGACAACATGCAGCTTGCAGGCTCTTGAAACATCCGGCGACGGAGATCCATGATCTTCACCACCCTTATAATCGGAAGGTTTTCCTAAGAGACTATTTGGAATTTCTTTACTGCAAATCAAGCCACCTTTCCTTCAAGCTCTGATTGTCAGGAAGAACAGATGATCTTGCAAGATCTTCTTACAAGATTATTCTATGTATGAGAGGAATTATCCTACTTTCCTTGCTAGTGTAGTCTTTCTTAGTTCCTTCTCTAGTATTTTCTAGGTCTCTGATTTTTGCTGTCACTCCCCTCATGACACTCCCCAAAATGCAGAACTCCAGCAGGGGTTTTATACAGTAACAGGCAAAGCAGAGTTAACTGTCTCCTGAGGTTTATGTACAGCATATCAGAAAATACATCCTGTAATATTTTCTATAAGAACATCCCATGGCTGACTTTGATCTAATCTGTCTTCTGTTGCAATTCCTGGGTGATTTGCTGCTGCATTCCCAGGAGCTCCCACTTTTATTTGTGAATTTGTTCACTACACCTTCCAAAGTATAACATTTTTGACTTGTCTTTATATTAAATTCATTTTGCTTTAATTGGGGCAATTTCCCCACTTCATCAAGATCAATTGTAATTCTGATCCTGTCTTCTAGCCTGTTTCATAATCTCCAAGCTTTATTATACATGGCTTCATGCATGGATTCTTCATTCCATTAATCTGGGGCTGGGGGGAGAAGGGTTCTGTTGTCAATTTAATCTAAAAAGCAGTGTGAGTTTCAGTGGGTGCCCATGAATACCATCCCTATCAGATAAGGCTCTTTCCAGCAGAGCATTTTATTAGCATTTTTTTGAGAGATGGTATTATCATTTCCAAAAATAAAAAACCTTCTGCTTCTTTAGTCTTTGTATGAGTTGCAATAATTTACAAATTTTGAGGGAAAATACTGCCTCCAGTCTTCTCCAGCCACTCTAGGTGAAATGGGGAACAAAAAGAACAAAGTCCTTAGAAAAACTTGTTGATTTTTCTTTTTTCTTTTTTAAAGCATAACTTTGCAGCCTGTAATGAGTGAGGGGCTGTTTTGATTCCTTTCAATCTTATCTTTTTTTATGCGAATCCACTACTGCAATATTTGAGGAGTTACAGATATCCTGCCCCTGCCTCACTGCAGGTCCTTCCTTCTGCCTCTCTACAAGGTCCTCGCTTAGTTTTCAGAATTTCCTCACATTTCCACTTTGCCTCACGTGCTGCCAGTTTCCACACTTCCCAGTTTTTTTTACTCTAGAGCCCTGCTGGATCCCTTCCCAAGCGCAGAAAGGGTGGTATCTGTGTTCTCGTGAATGGGTGATTTTTCAGTAACTGGCTTGAGAGCTGGGAAGAGAAAAGGGTGGGGAATGTAGAAGGGCAAAGGTTTTGGACATCACAGAGGAAGAGCTGGTATTCTTTTCACGACAAATTTCAGCACTGTCTACTAATTTCTCAGATTTCCCTCTGATCTGTTCCTTACGCCTGCTGTCCTCTAAACACAGCTGGTGGCCAGATGCTCTCCGTTCTGGAAAAGGGCCAGTTTTCTAACGGCTAAGACGTTTTTTCCCCCCCAGCTAAAACCTTTGCCTGCTTGGTCTCGACTTCGGAGTAGATTTGTGCAAATGTCTATTAAAGACAGAGGAAACTTCTTTAAAGAGGTGTGAAGGCTTAGTAGCCAGGCTCCTGTTGGCACTAATGAGAGCTGCATGCTGAATCCTCCGAATGCTGCTTTGGACACTGAGCCTTTTTGTGTTGAATATCCACTGGCTTCATACCAAACGTTGCACAAGTCCTGGATGGGCTCTCCAGTATGTGGTGTGCTGGGGACTTTCAGAAATTCTAGCTTTGTTTCAGAACGTAGCATGATGTGCTGCTCTTTGAAGATTAAAAGCAAAAGGGAAATCCGCAGTTTGTACTGAAATAAACTGCTCTGAGGTGGTGCAGTGAGCAAACAGAAAGGGCATCTCTTCCCTCCCCCCCGCCCCTCCCGTACCTGTCTAAAGTCAGAGGAGGGTTACGTTATGGCATGCAATGCAACTAGGGGACTGAGGCATGCAGGACCGTATTTAAGTGGGGTTTTTATGTTCAAGAAGAATACAGATGTTGTTAAAAGTTCATGCATCCACATACTCAAGGCAAGGCTCAAGCCACCCTAGAGAAAAATCCGTTCCTAGTACTCTATGGCTTAAATCCTAGGAGAAGTTGAGAACCTGCAGAACTTTTCAAAAGTCGGTTGCAGGTATTCAGTGTCCCTCAGGAGCTGGTTCTGTCTTAAAAATATTGCTGAAAGATGACATCCTGAAGCCTGCATTCACTAAAGCTGCCTCTGAAGTCAGTGGATTTTATTTTTTCTTATGAACGAGAGTTACCTAAAGTCAAAGACTTGAAGTTATTTTGTTTAACAAAGTGTCTTTCATGTGAGGCTCTGCAAGTGCTTTACAGAAATGAAGGGCCTGATGTTGCTTTCATCCTCTGGCCCAGAGATGTTGAAATATATAAGCATTAAAAAAGCTGCTTAGAACTTGTCCTAAAATTTAATAAACTACCTTGCAGAAAGTTAGCCTTGAAATAGCACTCAAATAATTCCTGAAACCCCATAGATGAGAACATCCCTAATTTTAGATGTCTGCCTATAAGCACAACATTTATATCTCTAACTCACAGCACTTCCAATCACATCTTCCGTCCATTGATAACAAAATTAATGTTTTGCCATTTTTTAACTTGTTATTTATTTTGAGGTAAGGCCCATTATCTTCAGTGGGTGAAAACTGAGGCTGCCCACTCTGACCAGATTATCACATTTCAGTAGAATTGCACCTGACGTACCATTTATAACTGGCCTCCAAGGGCAAAAAATAGCAAAGCCAAGTCTTCAGCTGTGAGTCAATGATCCGTGAGTTCAATTATAATGCTCTGAAAATATTACAAATGTGGTGCCCAAAGCAGAAGGAAAATCTGAAAACCCGCAGAAGCTAATGGGCATTTGCCAGCTGCCTTCAGTGAGCCTAAGAACTGGAGAAGCAAGCTCAGCATGGATAGGAGGGGGATATTCTTTTTGTTGCCATTAAACTGTCATTCTTTCAGCTTGGTTCAAGGCTTCTTGCATGGAACAGCCATGGGTGGCCTAGTGTGTATTCATCTTAGTGGCATGCAGAGGGCTCAAAATGTGGGATCTCATTCGATTCTCA